ACCAACCCAACGTACAACATACTTATTTAAGTCATATTATGCAACAGATATTGTAATAAAACAATTTAGTTTTTACTAAAATTAAATGAATAAGATAAGCGTTCAACAAACTTATTTATTGACATAACAAAAATGAAAAAAAAAATATTGAGTCAGAACTTTGTTAAACTTTTTACATATTTTCGTAAATTGTACCCTGTTCTTGGAGAGGTTCTATGRGGCCATTTACGAACTGGTTGGTATCGTTAAAATTGATATGTTGCCATGGTTGCCAATGAGAATTATCTTCAGTTGAAATTGATGACTGCGTAGAAACTGATGCTGGTGTGCTTGAATACTGTATAGAAGTTGTAGGCTCATTATTCATAATTTCGTTGTACAAAATTTCTTGAAATTTTATTTTTGTTCTCATTTTTTGCGATCTAGATAAAGACTTCAAATCAGGTAAAAGACTTTTTAAAAACATTAAGTCTTCGTCGTCTTTTTCTTCACTTTGAAGTAATTTTATTTTTTTTTCCTCAAGCTTTAACAACTCTTGTCTGAAATCGCCCATTGATGTTTTAGTTTTTTTTGCCGTTTGGGTTATATGCATGGGTTTTTCTCTTATGTGGTCTTCCGCAGATTGAATAATGTCGTTATCATCTTCACATATTTCTTCTACGCTATTTTCGTCAACATTGAATAGAGAAAAATCGACGGAAGTATCTTGTGAAGCACCGGAGTTTCTTGCGCTCTGTGTCAAGTTTGTAGTACGAGGACGAGTTTGCATTGTATCCTTCAAATAATTTAAGCATGGAAATAATGGCCACGTGGAAGTGGTTACTTCGTCAGCACCAGCCCCCGAACGCCCTGATGATACTTTTTTTAGTTCAGCTCGATAATAATCTCTGATGTTTTTCCATTTGGTTTTTAATGTAACCACTGCAATTTAACGATTGGTATACCTTAATTAAATTTTTTAACTAATTATTTGATAGATTATAAATTAGAATTAGGTCTCAAAACATATTTTYAATATTATTATTATTATTTTAGGTATTTATCAACTGGGTGTAGTTTTAGAAGTTTAGCTTTTACTTTTCGAATGGGTAAAACAAGTGTTGCGAGAATTGTAGTGGAGACATGCGAGGCTATTTGGGACAAATTGTCGGCAGTTTATATACCGGAACCAACGGTTGATGACTGGAAAACGAATGCAAAAGATTTTTTTACTAAATGGAACTTTCCTAATTGCCTCGGAAGTATAGATGGCAAACATATACGAATCGATCAACCACAACATTCTGGTTCGATGTATTATAATTACAAACATTTTTTTTCAATAAATTTATTGGCAATTTCTGACGCTAATTATAAGTTTATAGCAGTGGACATAGGTGCATATGGTAGAGAAAGTGATGGTGGAGTTTTAAGAAATTCAGTTTTTTTTAAAAAACTTCAACAAAATCAATTAAATATTCCAGATGATGTAGACCTAYCCAATACCAACATAAAAGCACCATATACATTTATAGGGGACGAAGGGTTCCCCCTTTTGACCAATTTATTACGACCTTATCCTGGGAAGCAACTTTTGAATGACCAAAAAAAGAAAATATTTAATTACAGACTATCAAGGGCAAGACGTACGGTGGAAAATTCATTTGGAATTTTATCCTCAAAGTGGAGGATATTAAACAAGGCAATTGAAACAAACKTTGAGCACGCCATCGCAATTACAAAGGCAGTATGTGTATTGCACAACTTAGTATTGAAACACGATCAACTAAACAATTTAATTGATAATTTGGAAGAACAGACAATTATATCCAAGAACAGTGGAGGAAGACAAAATAATAGATTTGGAAGACTAGCAAAAGATTCAAGGGAACTATTTACTGAATATTTTAGTAGTCAGGCTGGGTCTGTTCCGTGGCAACTGGACCATATATAAACGTTTCGTTTTAAATATTTCACTACCTATATTACTATAATTTACTACTATAATTTATTTTGTAATTTTAAAATATGCATTTTGTATTAATATTGAAATTAAATAAGGTTCTTTGTAAAAAAAAACAATAGTTATAAGAAAAATATTTACAAGTTAATTTTGTTTATCATATTAGTTATATTTTGATTCTTATAGTATAATATGGATCACTAGTTTCTAGTATTTATATTTTCGTATAATGATGTATAAAAATAAAGTCAAATACCCGATAATACGTAATCAATATGAAAAGATTAAAAATAACCATAGCAATAATTTATTTTTACATTGTGGTTGTTTATTATAATTATAACCAGATTTTATTATATTATAACACTTTTCAGTTTTATCTTTTATAACATTTGATCTGAGAAATACTGTTTTTTTTATAAAACAAGTACCTACAATAGACGCAGTAATTATTGTCATATGTTGTCAATATTTATCTAATTTTGCAGCTCTAATTTCTTTAAAGTTATGTCACCCTAAAGTAATGCAATACATGTGCTCTAGTGAAGAACCTCAGTATACTTATTAGTTAATATACTATATTATACTATGATACTATATAAGTTAATATATCAAAATATATAATATTAATTAATTAAATTACCATTCATGTTAAGATCCTTTCCAATGTTGGACCAACATTTTTGAATCTTCGTCCTATTACTGTGGTCCGGGTGTCTAGGATTCCAAATAGCTTCCTGTACGAAGACAGCGGCAGCTATTTGTTCGGACACAACCGACGCAGAAGACATTTTGACAGCGATTAATCGCCGAATATCAAACTATTTTGTTCTTTCAGCGATTACCGCGCGTGTAAAGCTACACGCGACACGCGGCACGCGCTCAGTGAGGCCACTACATATGAGTTACATACTTTTGTTAAAATCGCTAAAATGCAAAATCGCTACACGCTRTCGTAAAAACGCAAATCGCTCCCAGTGGGGCCGCAGCTTAATAATAACAATAAATATTAGAATCCTTGAATTTAATTTTCAACCCTCGACAGCAAAAATTTAAAATTGTTTGAACTTTTAACTTCACACTTAAGTATAAACGCTTGTAAAAAAACATGTCAATGTATTTTTATATTTATAAAAGAATTACTTATCTGGAATTTTGTATTCAATTTTTAGGGTTTTTACCAAGTCTAAAATGTTTGTTAACGCTTACAAAAATTCAAAAATTTAAAATGCCTATAAATAGCTTAAAATGTCTCTAAATATTTTACACATTGAATTAAAAATATAAAACAATAATTTAAAAAAATAATAGAATGTGTCGAATTTCTAARCTTTCAATTAATTTTTACAATAATACAAAAAAACTAAAACCATTTAATGACAAATCGTTATTACAGATGTGAATAATATCTATAATTTCATAAAAATTTTAAATACAGTTACTTAAAAAAAAATTATTGATAACCACCCTTAATGCCTTGCATATCTTATTCAAGAATATTAAAATTTTAGTAATTTAACTACACAACAATGTTTAAAATTGAAAAAAATTAAAAACAAAATTAAATTAAATTTCTTTAGTTAATTTATACAACTTTTAACATTGTAAACATGTAATTAAATCGTTTTTAGTTAAATCTTAAATTAGGAGTTACTATAATATACAATACTCAAAAACATTTCAGAATGAGTTTAGATGTAATTACGTTTACGAGTTTACGTGTAATCTAAATAATTTTTGAGTGTACAAGTGTGGCTATAGATAGTAATTACCTAAATTGTGTTGTCTTTTTGATCGTATCACGCAAATCAACAAGCTATCTAAAAAAATAACGTTGATGTTAACTATTGAAAAACAGCAAAAATTTGGTAATTTAAGTGATAGTAAATTTAAATGTTGACCTAACTGATATCTAAATACACGAAAAACACTATTTTAATTTTTTCATTGGTTATCAAGCAAACATTTTCTCTACCTAATWTCAAATACAAAACGTTATTTTTAAAATGTCTTCAGCAAATTAAAATAATCAGATGTCTAGGTATAGCGGAAAAAGTTTTCGGTGAAAAAACCACTAGACCTTACTGACTAAAACTACGGCTACCATTTTGAACCGAATAATACAATTATTTTGATGTAATGTAGTAGGTAAGTTATAAATACAAATCTAATATGATTGTAAAAGAATCCATGTAACATAAATTTTAAGGCAGCAGTATATAGTAAATCGTTATAAAAAAACAAATATATTTTCCAAAAAATGTGAAATGTCCCATAACATTACAATATMATAGCCACAAAAATAGCCATGTATAATAGTACGACAGGAGTATGTTATTTTTTCATCAGATGATTATGCAATTTTATCCAGTGGAATGACGAATCGGATGGTTACATCTGAGTTTTTAAAGAGTGGCACCGAGGCACAGATTTAGAATTAATTACAGTATTTTGGTATTTACTACAACGTGTGTGTACTATAAGTATTATAGTTAAAAAATATGACAAAAAAATGCTTCAATCGGGTTTTGAGTGGGTGGAATATTAGACTAGCATCAGAAAAAATGTCAATTTCTCCATGTCACTGGTTTCATCTGTTGTGTTTCAAGCGCAGTCGGAGTGCCGCCTGGTTGGCGGTGCCACCCCAAAGTGGTGCAAAAATCTTACGCTCCAGCTCTCGGGCGTCAGCTTTCGAGTTGTCGTCGTYGTCGTAGCACAGCRCCGTTCGCTTTATGGCCCGAATAACGTTCACGTCCCGCTTAATCTTGCCCGACAGCCACTYTCYAGCGTCCTCCAAAGTGGCCACCGTGCCGTCCACCAGACCCAGGTCCATCGCCTCAGCGGCACTCAGCGTCCGGGCCTCGAGCAACAGATCCAATGCCTTCTTGGAGCTCCCCAGGATGGACACCAACCGGCCGGTGGAGCCCCATGCTGGTACTATGCCCATTTTCGAGTGAACGAACCCAATGCCTGTGTTATCTGCCACGTTGCACATCAGTCTATAATCGCACGCCGTAGTCACTTCCGCACCTCCGCCAAGTGCACCTGTGAACAAAAAAAAAAAAAATATATTAAATCAAACATTATAATATTATACGTTACTTAATTAATGTTCCTATAAAGTTAGGTTTTTAATCTAATGGCTGTCGTTTTTCAAAAACGTTTTGCCCTTTCGTGTATTATAATAAAAACAATTTTGGTTTTAAATTTAACAAAAAATTGAAACAGCAAAAATTAGTAATGTCTTCGTTAGATAATCAGATACTCAATTTACAAAATTTACGAAAAAGAAAACAGTATATAAAGGTACCGACTACCGACGATCCCGATAGAAAAATAATTTTATTTATTTTCAAACAATCACGTAAAAAATAACTGAAATAAAATTATAACATTACCCGTGCCATTAATAAATGCGACTGTAATAATGGGTAGCTTTTTGAATTTGTCGAGAATATTACCCATATAAACAGACATCGCATACCCGTTCGTCGAGTTGCTCATTTTTTTTGCTAATTTCAAATCTCCTCCGGAACAAAAATTCCCATCAGCGCCATATAATATTGCTCCTTTGCACTCGGTCCACTGGTACAAWGTGTCTGTGATCTCGTCTAGGTCCAACATCATTTTTACTGTATAGGAAAGGATAAAATTCAAAAGTTAGACACAAAGATAATCATATAATTGAATGCATACATAACCTAACTACTAGATCATCTACTACATACGTCTTGGCTAATGAAGTAATGACATAATAATATGTACGAAAAAAAGTTTGTTTATTTATTAAACGGGCATAATGCGCAATATAATAGTAAGACACCAGCTACCTATACTCAATAGCTACACATTGGCAACATTAAAGAAAAACAAATTAAAACATTTACCTAATAATGTAACGGATGGAAGTCATAATAATGGGAAATTATGCTAATAATAAATAATAATAGGACAATTTAAAATAAGCTTAAGTACTCGTTCCTCTGACATATCAGTCAGTGYATCTGCAGGTGATTCCTACCATTTTAGCGATATGAAACGGAGTTAAAAACAGTAAGTCATATGTATATGCTGCATTATTTAATGTTCTAGATTTTAGGTCTTTCTTTCTCTTAAAAARCTAAAATTTTAAATTATYTTTTTCAAGATAATCTAAATTAAAATATTTTCATAAATTAGTTGTGAATTGCTACATGAAGATTTTTTAATAACATGAAAATAAGCATTTAATTGTTTTTTTATCTAACAGCCATAATAACAATGTTCGTTGATAGGTTGATACAATAATAGTTTTCAAAACTTTCAATTAAATAAAAAGTCAGAATAATAGTGTAGGGAAGTATAACTTATAGCGAGAAAAAAATAATTGTACTATGTTAATCATATGAAAAATAGCTAGGTGATTATTATAACCTATATACCTAACACTATTCAAGATGGATAATTATTTATTAGTATGTAGCG